TAACTGCTATTTAAGCATAAAAAAAATTGTCGATTTTCTATGTACAATATTTATTGTACCAAGTGATTGAACGAACAAGTCTTTTTTTCCATCCTCTATACGAGTCGTGCGCCTGGTTGTTTGTCGTTTTTTTTTCACTCAAGGAAAAGGCTAAGGTCAGAAACCACACAGCTAAGTCTTGATAAATTTTCCTTCTTTTTATTTTTATAGGTTTAAATAAGGTTTTTTTTTCTTTTTTTATTTATTAAGGCTTTGGCAAAGCCATCAGCCTCAACATGAAGTTTAATTATGTTTCTGTAAATATGGCCGCCACAAAGAGGATAGGCAATTTGAGGCAGCGTGCTTGGATTGACTCGGGATTCCTTAAAACGGGCCGATACGGGTATTTTAGTTCGAGATTCGTATAATTTCGCGTTTTAATCTTCGATTAAGGTACAATAGCACTATCCTATTCCACTTTAAACTAGATTTCACAAAATAATTGAAAGTCAAAATAAAAACGACACTTTTCCCTCCAAAAGGTCCAGAGCGAATCATAAGGTTTTTTATATCTATCAAAAATCACCATAAACTAAACACGGGAAAAAAAACAATGAAGTGTCGTCGCCAAAACTCACACATTCTTAATTTGAAACACAATGAAATCTTAATAATGATTTGGTCGTAGTTTCAAATTTTAAAAGAAGTAACAAATCTTGTAATGGAATACAAGAAAGAGATTACTTTCATTCGTGGCTGTATGGCGCATTAGTGCCTTTGCCTTTTCCAATGGAAAAAAACAAGTAACAAATTCTGAACTGTCGTTCAGAAAGTTCTCCAAAAAGAAGCGACGACCATATTTCAGCGGTGTAAGGTTTACTTTCGTTTCTTCTAGTCAGTTACCTTTTGGTAACTTGCATAGGCTCATCATTTCGTTAGTTAATTTAAGATTACAACAACACGACGTTAATTACGTTTTAAGTTTTAGGTAACGCACTCTTCACATAATATTGGTATAACCATTTGGTGTGTGGTATAACCAAATTTTTATAACTCCGGTATTTGTGCACCGATTTTCATAATTCTTTTTTTTGTTGGAAAGAGGTCCATAGTATAATACCTCTATAGTGGTCCCATTTAATTTTGAAGAAAATGATCCACCTCTAAGAATGGCTGTTCACGCATGAAGATTCATTTTTATAAACAGCGCCTAAATTTTATTATAAGAAGCAATTATTTTAATGGTTGATATTGCTATTGTCTAATTCAAGGCGTTTTTCTCTCTCAATATATTTTGAGTAGTGAGAACCGATTTTTATTATCTCCTGTGTCTAGTTCCGTATAGTGGCGAACTAGGGGATGAATCCGAGTTTGCGCACTTTACGGTAACTGATTTCAAAAAAACTTGGCAAATAGATGTAATTCCACGTAATTTTGTGGTGGGTTTTTTTTTTGTAGTACTGTGTACTGAGATTATAATATTATAAGTACGTATTATAATAACTTTATGTGTCTATTACGTTATCACGCCTATATTGGTATAGATATATTTAATTTAGTAGCAGTAGAGCTCCTAGTGATAGAGTTTGTCCAGGGTAGTACCTGGTAGTATTGCCACCTTACCTATTTCTGCCGCCAAGCAGTAATGTCAGCATTACAGTGTTCCGGTTTTGAAGGGTACAGATGGGACTTATCAACTTATTTCTCAGGGTGACGGGCGCAGTGGTAGTGCCCCTCAGATCTTTGCGATTTAAAGCTCTGAGTGGCACTGTAACTGTTATGGACAGGCGTGTAGCTTACTATCAGGCGCACGACTTGTTCGTCCCGTCACTTGATGTTATAAAATAAAAGATAGATGGTACCTAGAAAGACATGTGCTACTTTTTGTCACCAAAATAAATCTTAAACAGGGTGAAATAAGGGATGCAAGTTTGTATGGAGATCCAATCATTTGTCATGTCCTAAGGGTTCTAAAAATTCATATTTATGCCCTTTGTAAGAAATAAACAATTGTTTAATAATGTACTAAATTAAAAATATTGCCTTTTTTCTCATTCGTTGAACTGTTTTGATACGTATTTTTTTATTAAATTCTTTAAATTCAGCTCTTTATTGAATTTACCATAATATTACACAGGATGGAAAAGACTTATAGTTAAATTAACAGCGCATTATGTAGGGCACTGCAAATTATAAAAAGAAGGAGGATTAACTCTTTACAATATTATTTTGAAATTTAAGAATGTTGCTTTTTCCTATATTTACATAAGTTCATATTTGTACAATTGCAAATTAAAGAAAGAATAATATAAAAAAATCATTAAAAAATTATGATTGATCGAATCAGAATATAGCAATATGGCATTTATTAGGTTTTTTTTATTTAGTAATATTTATTTACATTTTCACATAGATTTTGATCAAAATTAGTAGGCTAGACAGCAGGCTACACGAAGTAATCATTCTACGTAGAAAAAGTCGCGGAGTCTTGCTAGTTTAGTATTGAAATACATGAGAAATACATAGGTATTTCTCATGTATTTGTAGGTTACAGCATGTGTAGGTTGTAGGTTACAGTAATTCATTACAAAATATATGCTACATTAGTAATATTTTTTCGAGAGTTGGCGCACCGAGGGGAGGCTTATTTCCAGCAGTGGACGCGTGTAAGCTGTTATAAGGATGATGATACAGTAATAAACTTGTATATATGTACCTACTAGCTGGTGCCCGCGACTTCGTCTACGTAGAATCTTCGAATAGGCTACTGGACTGGACTATACTATTTTTCATAGTTTTATTAGTTCTACATACAAACTGCCATCCGCTATTTCGCCCTATTAAGATTTATTTTTGTGACAAAAAGTCATCAAAATTGGTTCAGCGGTTTAAATGTAACAAAAAGAGTTACTTTCGCATTTATAATATTAGTCTGAATGTTGAAGTAACTCTAATTAAAACATTCAATGCACTGTTAATAATAATATAATAATAATAATATATCTTTATTCACAAACACACCTTAGCCTTATACATAGTACAGAGAAGAAATTTATTGATTAGTAATGTAGACAAAATAAAATAAAACAAACAGGTAGAAAATGCGTAACACATCTAAGGACTCTGGTTCCTAAACTAGACAAATGTCTGTGTCTTAGGAGATAGTGTTCAATTAGGTTAGGTTAGTGTTCAATACTTATACTCCAGTTACAGTAGTTTTAAATTTTTATGCACTATAAAATATAATAACTTGTAAAGTACTGTAGTTCAGGCACTACTCTATAAGTAGACATACTGGCTGAATGAATATAGATTTGTGTTTATGATTTTGATGATGAATTGTGATTTAGAACGTATTTAAAAAAATAGGATAGATTGCCGCCCTTAGAGGTAGAATATTTTCTTCAAATTTAAATGGGACCACTATTGAAGTACCCCCTTTCCAACAAAAAAATAATCATTAAAATGGGTTCACAAATTCCGGAGTTATCGCCTAACATACATACAAAAAAAACATACAGTCGATTGAAAACCTCCTCCTTTTATGAAGTCGGTTAAAAAATGTAACAAGTATCATGTCCGTCAGATGTTAGAGTTGAGATCAGGGTAGAATGGCTGGAGCAATGACCTGAAAAAAGTGGGTTGCATTGAGAAGCTGGCTCGCCGTGATAACCGGAAGGCCTGGCACTCCAACGCATTCTGTCAGCCATTTATCGAGTGCTTATTATTTTATTCTTTTCTTTCCACAAGAACATTTTATGCCCGTTGTTTGCTAGCTCCTTTTTTCCATGAAATAAATTTTTTATAGTGATATTTCAACGTGACCACGGTCAGTGAAACGTCAGGTTAAGAGGTAGGTGTGCAAAATGCCTATTAAATTGTTTAATCGAGTATATTCCCGTTTGGAAATGTTAGTATATTGCAACGCGAAAGTTTAAAAGTTTGTACAATTTTATCTTTAATGTTGGAAAGTTAAAGAATACTCCGTGCCCTCGAAATTTGACTACAATATGCCATCATATTGTGTCACAGCGATCCCTTTCATTTTTTTTGTTGTTGAAAGTGAATTATATTATATATATAAATCTATATATATATAAATATATATAATAAATAATAAATTTTATCACGTATTTCAAAATTTAATCAATACTGCAGTAATTAATAGTACCTAGGTTTTGGATGTTAAAGGGATGATACCTACATCAATCTACAAAATATCTTTACAATCCAGCACCTACAAATTAGTGGTAAAATTCAGCAAATCGATGTCCACCAATCTTCTAAATTTGATAGGTTACACTATTTACCAAGTATGTACTCTACCGTGGCGAACCCTTTTGACCCAGATTCCCCGCGACAATCTTTCCTAATGTCATCCTTAGATGACATTGAAACTCGCTCACTCATATAGGATTATTTGTTTTCTATGAGAATGTTAGTATAAGAATTTTATGAAAAATTGCTTATTCACATTTTAAAATACCTTCAGTTTTGTTATTTTATCGAACCGAGGTATGTACCTAGTTATGTATATGTATATCAACATTATAGGACGGCAAAAGATAGATTTAATATAGCTGCTAGCTAGCCCCATATCTAATCACTTTACTTAAATAGTGACAAAATTTATAATTTGTAGTTTTTCCATGACTGCAATAGGTACCTACATAAAAATAACTATAAACAAATGCAACTCATTGTTACAGACAATCACCAACGCGCAGAAAATGACTGCTGGCATCGCTATTGATACATTAATGGATGTGGACATGGAGTTTCGTGTTGAACATGCATTGAGTCTGTTATCACGTGTTATGCGTTATCAGTGTTATAGTTAAGCACAGATCGATATAAGTTAGTTTGCTGCGATTGAGCCATGAGGCACTTTCACCGCTGTTACACGCGTTTTCTAGCGAAACACCGAACTCAATTATTAATAGCAGCCTATTTTTGGAGCGGCTTCGGACGCGGATTCGCGCTCGGGCATGTGCGAGGCCCGGGCGAAGTCACTATCTCACCTGGGCCAGGTGTAGACGCCGGAAACTTCGAATCCAAAATGCCAGGATCCGGCGTAGGCCCCTTGACCCTTGGGTCCGGTGCACACACCATGACCGTGGGCCTTGCCGTCCTCCCAGCCGCCACAATAAGTACCACCATCATCAAAGTCGAAACGGCCACCGTTGAGGCCGCGCTGCGGGGGGTTTCCGCTAGCGGCGTGCGCGGCGTCGAGCTCGCTCGGCTGCATCACGCGAAACCGTGGTGCCGCGGAGGGGAGGGCCTCCCGCGCGCGCCCTCCACCGAGCTCGTGGTATAAATAAACATCAGCTGGGCATGTCGCGCCGCGGCGCGCCGCCGAGTGAACACCACTCTGGTCCTGCGCGAGGAGTACTGCGCTGCCGGCCGCCGCCGCCCGCCCGCCCTCCGCGCCGCCCGCCCTGCGCACTGCGCGCTGCCACCGCCGCCGCCGCCCGACGTGCTACCGCCACCTGCCGCGGCGAGCCAACTCGCCTCACACATTTCCATTGGTTGACACACACGAAACGATCCGTACGAAAAACAACTTTAACATACAACCTAACTAATATACAATTTTTATTTGAGCGTGAGATCTTAAACTGGAAGAAATCATTATAAATGTAACAACTTACAAAGATCTTGGAAGTTCTAGGTAGTTAGGTAGGTAGGTAGGTAGGTCCACGTCGTTAGTCGTTGGTAGGTATCAAACTACTTCCGGAACATTTATGGGGTGAGTAACCATTACGAGCTGTGTTACTTTGTGTTTACCTTACTGTACACGATGTAATACAACATTTCGTGTAATTTATTTTAATATGAGACGTCTCGCACTAGGCTCTAATAAGCTACAATCTGTATACTGAGTGTGGATATGCGTGTTACATGACGTGTAATAAAAGGAAAGAACATATTTCATCTGGCAGTCGCACTCATTATTGAAAACAGCTGTAAAGTATTTAAAAAAAATTAATAAAGTATTTGATTTTCGTATGAACAGCCGATTAAGCCCTGGATTAACCCATAAAGGATGGGAAAAAAAGGATTAACCACATTATTATTTTTATTTATTTATTTATTTATAAAGCATTGGCTTCAGAACCATCAGCTTAATGTCAACAAATAATCAAGAAACGCACAACGTAACATATATAAACTAAAAAGTAGTTCGTGTAAAAAATTTTACTATTAAGACTCGCCATTTGTTTTTTCAAAATGGATTAATCACAATTTTTTTGTTTTCCTAAATATTTATATTCTCTGTGTGCTAAATAGACAACGAAGACAATTATATTTGTAAATCTTGTGTACACAAGGTGTACATATAATTATGTAGAGTCAAAAGAAGACCAAAGCAAGTCAACCTTGACAGGAAGAGTCCAAAGTTCAGCTTGACATACTCTTGATTGTACCTACCTACCTACAAATATAAATATAATAATAATAAATAGTTTTAGCGCTCGCGCGATGACGTCTTATCACATGAAAGTAGTAGGTAATACTGTGGTAGCAGGTACCTAAGACATTATCGAACAAATAAATAAATTATTATAATTAAAAATATTAAGATATTCTAACGAGACCCAACCCGTTTAGGATTAAACCTGTAACTAGTATGATTGATAAAATTAAATCACATTGTTGTCGCGGTAAAATATAACGGAAAAATACAAGTAGTTGTAACAAAAAACTCGACTACGCTATGGAAAGAACCCTTTCCTTCCTTCCTTTGTTTTTACGTAATAAAGATTTTATATATAATATCATATTGAGCAAGTCTTTATGAAGCGTCATTTAATACCTATACTAAAATGCAAATACACAAATATGTAGTTTTATTTGAATTTTGTTTGACATAAACCAGTTTGCAGGTAAACCAGATTTTTCAAGCAAAGTGAACAGGCTAGAGTTTATTTGAAGACATTA